TATATTTATATTCAGCACCTATTAACTTAGCTTTAAGTAACATCTTACTGTAGTAAAATGAAGGGGACATTTTCTGTTATACTCTTTATTTAAACTTTATTGAGCTGGGTTTTTTCCTTTCGTTCCTCTATTACACTAAGAAGTAAAGAACTGCTTTATTTGCTTGTTTTCTCCTTTATTGTATTATGATTCAGCAAATTGTGTGCATCAAAAACTGTGTTTATTATGTCAAAAAGTAAAAGAATGTTACAGTGTCCCTGAACTCTGACCATTCCAGAATAGATGTCCCATCACAGACAGTCTCTCAAATCACATGAAGACAATAAGATTAAAAGAGTCTCTTATCTCTGAAGATGTCTTGTATCAGGTCTAATCTTCAAGTTATTCACAAAGGGAGTTTCCATTAGGGATGCTAATTTTAGATTTGTTTCTGATCGATAAACCGATCATTAACCGTTAACCGACCGGGGATGCTGCGGTTGAGGGCCTGACAAGCCGCCCATCTGCAACAATAACCTGATGCACGAACAGATTACATCCACCATTTACTGACAGTGTGTGCACTAAACAGGCACCTGTCCGTAGTTCACCCATCTGGTGAGTTAGCAGCCATGCTGTTGCATGCATTGTCAGGACACATCCAGCCACTTCCACAGTAAGTCTCCACCGCATCCATTAATACAGCGTTAGCAGCGAGGTTGTCATGCTATGTATCTGCCTGTGTACTGCAGGCCGGAGTAACGTTAGCTAGTGTCTGCTGGGGAAACACATTGAGTATGAACTTCACAGTAACATTACAGCTGTGACCGGCGCAGTGCAGTGTGTCTGCATTTTATTAGTATGTGCATGATGCTCCCACTCCTCAAGAGCCATGCTCAGGTCCCGTGTGTTGCTGGTCAGCCACCTGCTGATTAGAGTAAAGGGGTTAGCAGCAAGGTTAGACACAACTCAAACTCAGGCGCATTTAAGGTGGGCTGACCTTTAAGGTGGAACAGCTATTCTATTAGTTTTGCTCTGCATTTTTTTAAATATTTTTTTTTACTTTAATGGGTCAAAATTATTGGTTAAGCGATTCATTATTAACCTCCCTAGATGCTGTATCAATTTGCACTCCTGCTTGTAGGTGAATCCTACTAAACCTACAGTTCAAATAAATTGCTATTGAATACATTTAAATTTAATGCAAATTGTATACAAAAAGAGCTCTGGATCAGCCATTATCGTGCACTTGTAAATGTACCGATAGGACTAACTGAATGAAACCGTTTTAATCAAATAGGCATGTTCTTGCTTGGGGCCCTATCTAGACTAGAGCCGGTATTGTTGGGAATAAAGACGGCCAAAAGAACCACATCACAAACAAAGTCTTCACACAACAGTCACAGCAGCACCTTCATTTTGTTTCGGTTAGATTTTTCCTAATCAGCTTCTCTTCCTGTGAATGTGAAAAAGAATTGGGGCAAACAAACTGAAATATGTAAAAGAGGCTGAATGAACTTATTCCATGGCCAGTGCTAATTCCTTATTTTGATTTGCTGGCATGTTCTATTATGTTCTTGTAACATATGGTATAGGCAGACAGCTTTCAGCCAGGTGTTAGTTCACCATTCTAACTTACAGGCTTTTACACATATTTATCCATACTGAGTTCACTTTTTCAAAACTCTTCTTTTTAAAAAAAAAAACAAAAAAAAACAAAAAAAAAAAAACGCATCCTAAATGCAGTTATGCATTGGAAATACCTCATACACATTTTAGCAACAACTTTGACAACATCTGTCTGCCAACATGAATGCACTAACACAACGACCTAAATCCTGTAAAACTAGCAACAGCTTTACAATATATTTTGTTTGTTTCGCAAACTGTAAACCAACATTCCATACGAGGCATTGTTTTTATGGAATGCAAAACGAGATGTTGACCACACTTGCTGGGACATGCCGCATTATTTTTTTGTGTTTTGTGTATTCCAAAAGTACACCATAAAATTCAAGTATTGTTGTATATCCACTATACATCCATGTATTGTATACCTGATCATTTTTAACAACCCTGCCTTCTGTATTTGGACCGTTGCCATCCAGATAAGAACGTATGTCTGCCTCTGTCAATGAAGCACACGTAGCAAACAGAAACGTCATTTTGTCTGATGTTTGGAAGTTACATTTATTCGGATAGTTTTTTTAAAATAATTGCTGGTGGTTGAGGCTGAAAGAAAAAAAAAAAAAATGAATTCAGAGAAATGCAAAGTACAAACAGCAAACGCTCCAGTGCTTAACGATTTACATTCCTCTTGACACTTACAAATGTCCTTGGAGCCCTAAGGCCTCACCAACTTAGCCGTAACATTTCTAAAGTTCTCTCTTTTCCTCCAAATAGCTCATGACTTGAGAAGGATCACAAGTAGCACTGCAAGCAGCAAGAATTCTAAGTACGAATCTACATTTTATGACTGTTTTCAGAGAAAAACAACATATTATCTCTTACAAATTCATGCTACAATTCTGATATTTTGACATGAATGGAACATTCTTGTTAAAGCTGTCTCCCACTGTTTGTTTCTATAAAGGGCTTTCCTTATTCACTCTGTCACTTCATCATTTCGTTGGCTCACTCCTGTGTTCACGCCTTAAACTTTAAAGGTTTTCCTCAGCAACCTCTCGACCAAAACAATGTGTTGTTGACTGTTACAAATCTACTGCCTGCTTCCTCCATTACATCTCTGCTATAAGCATGTATGTCATCTCCTGCATATTAACTGTTCCATTCTCTTTTCCAGGCAGAGGCAACAGGAAATGGCTCACAACAGCCTATGTTGCAGGGTGAGGCATGTAGGCTACTACTGAAAGCAGGAATAGGATTAGCATGTCAGCCTTCCCTATGGAGATTTATTATCATTTTTATTTTCATCATTTTACCGTTATTCTATTTTCATTTGACATTTTTTAAATAACGTATTAGATTGGAAGGATTGCTGCCAGACAATGACGATGAGGTTCTGGAGATGGAACCCTATGCAGTCTGACGGAAGACTGATGTGGTTGTCAAGGCGACCGCTAACGTGGAGCAAAGCTAAGAGGAGCTAGCTAGCGTTAGCATGGCTCGATGCCGCACTTCATTCCAACACACTAGAAGTGTCAGAAAACCCCACTTCATCTGTCACGTATTGACAGCGGCAGCTTAAATACACCAGACGGCCATGATTGTGGACTTTGTTAGCATTTGAGACTGCGTTACGTGGCCTGTCTTTGAGGATAACTAGTTTGCTAACGTTTATCACCAGTTTGATATGAATACAAGGGAAGTGATGCGTTCACGGTCAGATACTGGTTAATGTAACATGTAGCCTGGTAATCTGAAAGCTAACGTTACCAAGTATTAGTAATGACCATAGTAATGGGTAATGTTAACTTCATCACTGAGCCGCGTGACGGTGACAGTCAGGGCACGTTTGTCAGTCACGTGACATGATTGTAAAGTCGTGTTTACTAATAAGGGAGAATAGTCACCAACAAGTTCATTCGTAGCTTAAGCCATATTTGAAACATTTTATGAATAAATTCATACAGCTGCTGTTACCATAACCAGCTAGGTTAGTAGTTTTGTTTTAGTTTGACCTTATTGAAATGATGCTTTCATATCAAATCAACAGATAAATCAGATCACTGTGTCTGGCACATTATTTCAGGTTGTCTCTGTATTTGACGGAATGCATTAATGCGGTTTGTTTGATTCGCTAGACAGCAGGCTGTAGCTGTAAGCATCGGACTGCTTTGATAAGTAGCCAATTAGTGCTGCTGTGGTCTACCAATCAAGCCAACCTGCGAGTGTCCCTGTCATGCATTTGTCAAGTCAGAAGCAGGACAAAGCTGCAGCGGAGACAATGCCGTGCTGGAACCAAGGTGTAATCTTTCTTTTTCTTAAATAACAGACTCGATCTGCTTCCAGCAACCCATCCCCCTCCGTTTCTCCCCTCTCCTCTGTCTCCGTATCACTATTAACCTTCCATCGCATTCCATGCGTTTTGGAGACAGCCCCCTGTACCCCTCCCCTCCCCCAAATGACAATACGGCTGGCTCTACCTGAGGCTGGTGACCGTGTAGCGGCACCATGCAGCCCGGCTGCAGGCAGCGCTGTGGCATTGTTAGAGCCAGTCCAGCACCCTGGTGCCGCCGGAGGAGCGTGTGGGTGCCCATGCTTTGGCCACCGGAGCTTACCTTGCTTTGGCCGATCTGTCGTAACTCCATCCCGCCCCGGCCCCTAGATCTCCGAAGCCTGCAGCGGGGTAATTCCTCTCCATGAAAGAAAGGACTGGATGAAGATGGACAGATAGTGAGGGGGAGGGGAGGGAGGAATCTCTTCTCTGTTCTGCGCTCGCCTCTGTTTATTTCTCCGCTTGACGAGCCTGTAGACTGGGAGGAATGGAGGGAGAAGGAGCGAGAGCGCGGGGGGGGGGGGGGCACAGCAGCAGCCAGCAGGAGCACCTCCTCCTCTCCTCTTCATGTATTTCACTGTCTATTGTCTCCTGTGTGGAGCTGACGGGCCGTAGAACAGATGCTCCGCGTTCTTCAGCAGCAGCTTTAATGAGCGGGCTTCAGTCTCACGGCTCTGCTGCTCACTCACACACACTAAACACACTTTCGCTCATTTTGTTCGCAAGACGCCATTTTTAACGGGAATGACTGGGCAGGCGTTCATCCTCTCCTCCCCTCCCTCGCTCTCTCTCTCTCACACACACACACACTCACACGCACGCGCACAATTTGTCACGCACAGCAGCGCTGTGTGCTGTAGCATTGTGAAAGACTGAGTCTGGTGAAAGAGCTCAGCTTCTGTTGCCAGCTTCTTTTTCTCGAATCAACTGCTGTGATAAACAACAAACAAGTTGCAACATGTAAAGGATGGTGAGCTGACATATTCCTCACTTCAAGTGTACACACACCTACTTGTCTCTACCGGCTTGACATGTTACAACAGATGCATAAAAAAGACTGGAGGCATGTGTTTGTAATTTATTAAATTAAACATGTTTGTGTTTTGTTGAAGACTCTATAGTGTCCATGAATAGATTGTCTTTTGCTAAAAAAAAACCCCAACACAGTTTAATGTAGCTACAGTGCAACCACAAAAATGAACCACACCCTCAGCTGTACCGCTTTAAAGCATCACATGTGTAGTGGACAGACTACTGGCCAGCCATTATGCAGATCATGCTGTCAGTAGACTCCATTCTAAGATTGTGTCTTAACTTCACTTATAAATACCGTAAAAAAAAAAACAGGCTATCTTCAAAAGTTCATTCAAACCATCAGTGCCCATCAGCTATAATGAGGAGGCTCTGCCAGCCCTCTCATGCCTCGTCTCCGGGATCAGCAGGCTCTGATGGCGCCCCCCTGTGGTCAAAGAGAGGAAAAACCTCTGTGAGCGTTACTATACACAGCAGCAGGCCCATGTCCAACACTCACAACACTTCACAAAGACAGGGCTGCAGCATACTTTGAGCTGAACATAAAGGAGTGTAATAACAGAGAACGAGACTTTGATCAAATACACATAAATGACACAGACGATGGTGCGGCTGGTTCAACAAGAAAGCCGATCAAAACTACTGATGGTTTTCATCAAACATAGATATATGTTGTTCTACCGTTGTTCACTTAGCTGGCACTAGTCCTGATACACGTTTACGTTGATTTAGAAGTTGTAAATGTTGTTTTGATGTTTTCTATGCTTTTTATTTCTGATGATGTAAGTGGTGTTGAGGAATGGAGTGGAAAGCTGTTGAATATCCAGGAGCTTCTTTTGAATTGAAATACATTTTATTACATTTAGGACCTGGGAAAACTGCGCCATGAAAAGTATTTCTTTATTAAAATTAGTAATAAAATGTATATTTTAATATGCTGTACCTTTTGCAAGTAATGTAGATTTGTCATCTGCAATTTTCTTAGGTTCACTTGTATCCGTCTTTTTGTAGGTTTCGGGCTGGATCTTAGACACTGACCTGGATCCATGTGAGGAGCAAACTGGAGCATCCACTTACCCTGAATAAGGTGGTGGTGGGGCATCGTGTTGCCCACTGTGGTGCAGAGCCTCATTGTAGCTGGGTAGAGCTGGAGGGATGAGGATCCCAGCCAGGGGCACCGTCTCTGGGGCTGGATGCCCATCTGCTGCCATCCTCACCGGAACGCTGGACCAGCACACAGAAACAAAACTCAGAAGAATTCAACAAGCCAGTGAAAGTACTGTATAGCTAATCAGGTCTAAATCAGACATGAATGTGCTCCGTAAAATCAAGTTAATAGGTTTGATTTCCTGTTGTGGATTGTGGAAATGTTCACCAGATAGTGGTGCTAGAGAGAAGGTTGTAGTTGAACATCAGGATTCCTGACCAACACCAGCTATTATTACACTGCTGTCGTCCAGATCGTTACTTTATGAGTTTTCATTCAAATTGCTTCAAGGGTTATATTGTGATATGAAAGTGTCATTGATAATAATGTGTGTTTCTCTACAGAGTTAAAGGATTTCTTCAAGGCACTATAAAGAAATTAAATATTGAATAAATTCATGAATGAATACAGAATAGGTTGCATAGTTAATTACATTAATATAGAATAAAATACAATACAATACAATATAATAGGGACTTTGAATTTGGGCTGGTTCCGGTCATATTTTTCTAAAAAGAGCTGCTTACTGGGAATTGTGGTAGACAAAAGTCCAGGGGGGTCACTGAAGCCCTTCGACATCATTAATTGAGGACCATGAATGTCCACACCAGTTTAATGACCAGCTGTGATAAAGTGTTGTGGTCTGAGCTAGAGTGTCTTGATATATTGGTATTGATATTGATTGATAAGAGTGATATTTACAAAATTAAACAATTTCATGTTGATAACACACATATGATAATATTGTGTAAATCCAGCTCATTTTAAATCATTTTATATATACAGATATGGATACAGACCCTAGCTCTTCCTAAATACACTCGTATTTTGGGGTTAATGAAGAACAAGCTAAAAATGAATTTGACTGAACATTATTTTTTTCAGATTTTCTATAGATGTCTTGATAACAGTGGCGGCTGGTCAATAGAGGGCTCTAGGGCGCCGCCCCACCTTGAGCCACAACAAATAAAATAAAATAAATAATAATAATAAACTATACAAATTGTCAATATTTGTGTTTTTGAAATATGGAATCACCCAGTAATATGTGTAAAATATGATATCTGCGGTAAATATATGCTTTTCCTGCACGTCCGCTCCTCGAAACTGCCCAAAAGAGGCGGGTCTATGAAGCAGTTTAGGCAATTGCTGATTAAAGATATAAATGTGTGACATACAATTTAGCCAATCAGCGCCCTCAAATAGGTTCAGCTGCGCGTTCCCGTCTGGACTAGTCTCTACAGGCGAGCGCAAGCACTGCTCCTCCGAGACCCGTTTGAGAGGAGAACTTTGGCGGACAAACTGCAGGTGAAAGAGCTGATATCAGATCAGCCTGACCTCACAATCAGACAGCAGACTAGCAGGAAAGGGTATACGTGCGACATTGGGTACTAAATAGCAGTACATACGAAGCTTCTCTACTGTACACCAGACAGGTTTGGCTAGCTGGATGACGTCATGCTAATAACTTATTTTGCTTTTTAAAACAACGGGGACAGATCCAGCATGGACAGTTAGGGAGTGAGGGACATAAAGCACCTGTCTGAGAAATGGATATATAGTTATAAATAAATAATTATATATATATATGTGTGTGTGTGTGTGTGTGTGTGTGTGTGTGTGTTTTATATTATACTGAATATTATTATATCCATCCATCCATCTATTTTCCTCCGCTTATCGGGGGTCGGGTCGCGGTGGCAACAGGCCAAGCAGGCTGACCCAGACTTCCCTCTCACCGGCAACATGTTCCAGCTCATTCTGGGGGATCCCGAGGTATTCCCAGGCCAGCTGGGAGATGTAATCCCTCCAGCGTGTTCTGGGTCTTCCCCGGGGTCTCTTCCCAGTTGGACGTGCCTGGAAAACCTCCAGTGGGAGGCGTCCAGGAGGCATCCTAATTGGATGCCCGAACCACCTCAGCTGACTCCTTTCGACGCGAAGGAGTAGCGGCTCGACTCCAAGCTCCCTCCTGATGACCGAGCTCCTTACCCTATCTCTAAGGCTGAGCCCGGCCACCCTACGGAGGAAGCTCATTTCGGCCGCTTGTAGCCGCGACCTTGTCCTTTCGGTCACGACCCAGAGTTCGTGACCATAGGTGAGGGTAGGAACTTAGACCAAGTGGTAAATTGAGAGCTTTGCCTTCCGGCTCAGCTCCCTCCTCACCAAGACGGTCCGGTGCAGCGCCTGCTTTACTGCTGCAGCCGCACCGATCCGTCTGTCGATCTCCCGCTCCATCTTACTCTCACTCGTGAACAAGACCCCGAGATACTTAAACTCCTTCGCTTGAGGTAGGCACTTCGTCCCCACCTGGAGGGAGCAATCCACCGGTTTCCGGCAGAGCACCATGGAGGTGCTAACTCTCATCCCCGCCGCTTCACACTCGGCTGCAAACCGCCCCAGTGAATGCTGGAGGTCACGATCCGAGGAGGCTAACAGGACCACATCATCTGCAAACAGCAGAGAGGCGATCCCGAGACCCCCGAACCTGACGTTCTCCACCCCCAGGCTGCGCCTAGATATCCTGTCCATGAAAGTCACGAACAGGACCGGAGACAAAGGGCAGCCCTGGCGGAGGCCAACACCCACCGGGAACGTGTCTGACTTATTGCCGAGAATGCGGACACAGCTCCTACTGCAGTCGTACGGAGACCGGATCGCCCGTTGTAATGGGTCCGGCACCCCATACTCCCGCAGCACCCCCCACAAGAACCCCCAAGGGAACCGGTCGAAAGTCTTCTCCAAGTCCACAAAGCACATGTAGACTGGTTGGGCAAACTCCCAGAACCCCTCCAGTAGTCTTGCGAGGGTAAAGAGCTGGTCCACTGTTCCACGGCCGGGACGGAATCCGCATTGCTCCTCTTGTATCTGAGGTTCGACAAACGGTCGGAGCCTCCTTTCCAGCACCCTGGCATAAGCCTTCCCCGGGAGGCTGAGTAGTGTGATACCCCGGTAATTCGAGCACACTCTCCGGTCCCCCTTTTTGAAAATGGGAACCACCACCCCGGTCTGCCAGTCCATGGGCACTGATCACGACCCCCATGCGACATTGAAGAGGCGTGTCAGCCAGGACAGCCCAACTATGTCCAGCGCCTTCAGCATCTCAGGGCGGATCTCATCCACCCCCGGCGCCTTGCCACCAAGGAGCTTTTTGACTACCTCAGCGGCCTCTGCCAAGGATATGGGTGAGCCTCCCCCTACATCTTCAGGCGCTGCCTCCTCTGCAGAGGACATGTTGGTCGGGTTTAGGAGTTCCTCAAAGTGCTCTTTCCACCGCCCGACGATGTCCCCTGTCCGGGTCAGCAGTTCCCCCCCCCTGCTGAGAACAGCCTGGGGTAAGCCCTGCTTTCCCTTCCTGAGTCGTCGGATGGTTTGCCAGAACCTCCTTGAGGCCAACCGAAAGTCCTTCTCCATGACCTCCCCGAACTCCTCCCATGCCCGAGTTTTAGCATTCGCGACCACCGCAGCTGCAGCCCTTCTGGCCTGCCGGTACCTGTCAGCTGCTTCGGGAGACCCCTGGGCCAACCAGGCCTTGAAGGTCTCCTTCAGCTTGACGGCTTCCCTCACCTCTGGTGTCCACCACTGGGTTCTCGGGTTGCCGCCACGATAGGCACCGATGACCTTCCGGCCACAGCTCCTAGCGGCCGCGTCCACAATAGAGGCTTTGAACATGGTCCATTCGGATTCCATGTCCCCAACCTCCCTCGGGATGTGTGAAAAGTTCTTCCGGAGGTGGGAGTTAAAGACCTCCCGGACAGGGTCCTCCACCAGACGTTCCCAGTTCACCCTCACTACACGTTTGGGCTTTCCGGGTCTTTCCAACCGGTTCCCCTGCCATCTGATCCAACTCACCACCAGGTGGTGATCAGTTGACAGCTCTGCTCCTCTCTTCACCCGAGTGTCCAAGACATACGGCGGCAAATCAAATGATACGATTACAAAGTCGATCATTGATCTCCGGCCTAAGGTGTTCTGGTACCAGGTACACTTATGAGCCACCTTATGTTCGAACATGGTGTTCGTTATGGCCAAACCGTGGCAAGCACAGAAGTCCAATAACGAGACACCATTCGGGTTCAGATCGGGCAAGTCGTTCCTCCCAATCACCCCCCGCCAGGTTTCTCCGTCATTGCCCACGTGAGCATTGAAGTCCCCCAGGAGAACTATGGAGTCGGTAGGTGGCGCCCTTTCCAGGACCCCTCCCACCGACTCCAAGAAGGCCGGATACTCTGAACTGCTGTTTGGTGCGTAAACACAAACCACAGTCAGAGCCTTGCTCCCCGCAACCCGTAGGCGCATGGAGGCGACCCTCTCGTTCTTCGAATATTATTATATGATATATATATATATATATATTATACTAAATAGTATTATATGATATATATATATAAATTATTATATTATACATAATATTAATATATGATATATATATTATTATATTATACTGAATATTATTATATGATATATATATATATTGTTATATTATATTATATATATATTATATTACTGAATTCCCTGTGAGGGTGACAAAAATAAGATGTCCTGACGTGTTTGTCAAAGTGTTATTTACTGCTTTTTTTCATGTTGGAATAAAGGTTAAATATTTAACTGCAAAGTATTAATGCATGTTTGATACCTTAATTTTTTTTGCATTAAATCATTCTGGGATGTTTGCTGAAATTGATTGGATGTGGCACAGCCCTACCTAGAATATTTTCCACCAGCCGCCACTGCTTGATAATATCATTCTATGGAATTATTTTGGTCACAATAATTGTGTAGTGACAATCTGATATGGGGACAGCCCTTGTCTGAGTTTAAGTGCTGGATGTTATCCACATCCCTACGTTATCAGCGTTTCTTCAGAAATGTTCCCATCAGAGTGAACTTACTGGGCTGACCTCGGTCCACCTTTGTTCTTGTTTTTGTAGCAGTAGATTCCCAGCACAGTGGCAATAGCAGCAGACACTAGGACAGCCACGATCCCTGCCACCAGCCCTGACACATCCACTTTGGGTGCAGCTTCAAAGACAAACAGCAATAACATTAAACCAATGCTTCTTATACAGTTCTCATAGCAGTCAGACACTAATCACTACAGCAATGACTTCCGTCATGACTGTCTTCTGTTAGTTGGCTTTTGTCATCACTGATACAGTATAAACGTGTGACTGCAACAAATTCCTTCCTTTTGATGCTCCATGCAGTTTCTGAATAATACACCAGCTGCACTGTGAACTGTTGGTGCAATTTCTGTCCAGTTATAAACTAAAGTTTGCAGCAAAGAATGCACATGTTACAGGTGTATTCTGACTCCACCTTCACAGAGCATTTCATTATAAAGTACAGTCTACTTTAAAAAGGACTGGAGATATTATAAATGACCAAAGATACACTCCCAGACTGTGTTGTAGCATTCAGTAGCACCCCAAAATCATTTGGGCTTTTGGAGCACTATAACAAGGAGTGTATCTTTAACCAAGTAGCTATACTAAATACAATATTAGCAATACAGAAATTAAAATGATCATAATGTTAATTATAATACTCATATTTTTAACGTTGTGCATGTATTTTCAATGTGAAGACACTACATTCAGCTGGATGAGCCCAATACAACAGACTACAACAGTGTATCATATTCATCTTTAAAAACATTACCGTTAGTGTTCCCATAGTTGTTCCAAAATATATCCTAAAAATGGAAGCAAAAGAAGACTTAATAATGTACCTTCATAAACAAGCAGCAACCACAGGACATTTCAGCCAATGTGAACATGCCTTAAGAGTTATTTTTATTTTCGAATGCAAAAGAAATGATTTCTAAATGATGTTTAGGTAAACATTCTGGGAGTTGTTTGTTGTATAATTAAATGGATACTACAGATTTTCTCCACTCTAAAACTGCAAACACAACAATGCAGTGATAATAACTTAAGCAGGCTGTAAACTATAGTGATGATGTGTGGTTCTATTTTTAAAAAAACTCACTGTTCTCACAGCTGTCACACAGAGGTTAACTCAAATGTCAGGTTTCTCCTGATCTGTCGAGGTCCATTGAATAAAGCTATAGGATTCTATATCCAAATGAGTGTACTGAGAGTCACTACCAGCTGGTTGATGTCGTCCTCGTACACCTCTCTGGCCTCCTCATAGCTGCACCTCTCTTCAATGCACTCCCTCTCTAGATCGTCAGTCACCACGACCTCAAAGTCCCAGTTGTTCCAGAGCAGCGAGCGGGACAGGAAGGAGGTCGCTGACTGCTGGTCTACCAGCACTGGACCTCCTGCGGGACGCAGGCAATGTGAACTCACAGAGCATACACTGAGTGACGGCAACAATCACACCTGATGTTTGTCTTTGTGTTGGCCCTGTGGTCACATGATCTGACACATTTAATTTGACTCAATATGCGTAAACAAGTGACTTTAATGTACATGTCCTCATGTAAGCTAATGAGTTCACACAAACAATGGTTTATCTCATAACTGTGATGCATGCCTGTGATTACTTATAGTCCTGTTATCTGTTCATTTGTGCACTTTATTTTATATTTCACTTTATTTTATATCTTTCTGTACATTTTTACATGTTTCTACTTTGCACTGTGTTCATTGTTGTTGATTGTTAAACGTTATGCACCTCCCATCATGTCAAATTCCTTGTATGTTCATGGCAATAAACGGTTCTGATTCTGATACCACTGAATGCCACGTTTGAATTATGAGATACAAAGGTCACAGGTGAGTGCACCATGCCACTGTATGAACTGACCAGCTCTAAGTGAGAAGAGGTGTGATTTACCTGGAGGAGGTCTGGAGAAGACAGAGCCGTGAGCCAGCTGCAGCAGGGACAGCACAGGGATCCACACTGCTGACAAGGCTGCCATTGAAGCCCAAACTACAAGGACAATGACAAGGAAGAGCCTCTGCGGGAATGAATGCGACGCTTCTGGCCAGAACCCTGAGCGTGAAGAGGATGAGCCTCCAACACGCACTCGTCCCAGCCTGTCAACGCTTTCCAGGAGCAAAACCAAACGTCTTCTTTTAGATTTTCAGAAACATGCATGTCCCAATCTTACTCCAAAATTAACTTCTTTACCGTCAGGCTACTGAGGGCTGGGTTGTTTCCTAGAAACCCGTCACATCACAAACCTGTTGGACAGCATACATGTTGGAGGGAGGAACCTCCACAAACCTGTCTGTCTCACCGTCTACTCTCTGTCGTTTACTTGCTTGTTTCGTCCACCAGCTAAATGTGTGTGTGTGTGTGTGTGTGTGTGCGCGTGCGTGTGTTCTCCGTGGTCTCACTAAACTAAAACAGTGTAATACAAACAGTTTTGGTCAAATTATTTTCTGAGCAGTGTTTGCGATGTGACGGTGATGTAATAAGCATATAATTATGAGATATAAATGGCATTTAAGATCAAATGGAGTATGAAAGTGAAAAGGTTGAATGGATATCGATCACGTCATCTCCCGTATGTCACTGGCGTCGCGTGTGAGAGTCGCTCAAGATCGCGACTGTGGTGGGTGGTATGTGGTAAGCTCTGCAGCACTAGTTGAGTATTTTGTGTATTGTCTAAGGCAACCTGTTTCTAACTACTAGATAATGCTGCACGCACCGACAAGTCAGGGTTTGACTGCTGAAATAAGAACGGTGACGGCGAAAATATCCTAAAACTTTAACACGTCCCGCAAACAAGTTAGCATACCAAGCTAATATCAACACGTCACCTGTGGACCAAAATGACAGAGAGACTCAAAGAAGGGCACAAAGGGAGGGATAATGAGGACGTTTGTGGTCACCCCTTCCTGAGACCTTCAGAGAGAGTTCAAACCCAAAGAAAATGTCAACAAACAAGAGAACGATATCTAACGCCGACATTCTCAGCGCCATATTCTAGCAGGAATGCTTAAATGTGTTTGAACAGCGAATAAGTAAAAACACAACAGACATTAGCAACGGTAAATGGTTTGGGTTACAAGCAAAGGAAACTGCGGACAGAGTGAAAACACTGGATAAGCCCACGAGAGACCTAAGAGAGAAAACTGCGGTCAAGTCAGCGCCTACTTTGTTTTGCGGTGCGTGCATATACTATGCATTACGGTACGTGCGTGTCCCAAGAGGATATACACTCGGCATTACGGAGCGTGTATATACTATGCATTACGGTAAAAGCGTGTAAGAACTGACTTCAAAATAAGAGCAAAGTTCCGGTGAACATTCAGTCAGTCTGTCAATAATAAATAAATAAGTAAACAAATAAATAAATGGGAAATAATAGATAAAATGATTGATACCTCAAATAATAATTACTGCAAACTGGATTTCAGAAAAAATGTAATTCCAATTGTGTGAATATTTAATCAAACTTCTTAAAGAATAATTTCCAATGACCGATCTGACTTCACAATGACAGTACATCCCCTCAAATTCAGTAAAGACATCAGAATGTCCTGATATTCTGAGTGACACCGATTGTCTTCCATCATTCTGAGGTGAAATTAGTCTGTGACACAGGGCAGCTCAAATGAGATATACAGTACACTCACGTTGTGTATGTCATGCACACCCAACACCGTATATACAGTCACTAAAGTATATACTGTGTGTATACACTAACGATTCTGAACTTGGACACAGTGTACATATGAATACATTAACACTATCAGCTCCACTGCATTCGTGGACTGTATGTAAAACGTGTCATCTTATTCATGAACCAATATCTGACACAACAGAATCCTAATTAGCATGAGATCTCCTCTGAAGCCCTACACAATGCTCAAAACGGTGGCAATGTGAGTCATAGAAGACAACAGAAAGAAATGTTAAGTTGTAAATGTTTTAATGATGTAAAAAAAATTGACTTTTATTTCGATACAAAACTGAATGATGTGAATTGCAGGTTGTAGTATAGATACATATATGAATTCTTATTAAAGGGAAAATAGTAAACAAACTGCCCAAAGCATTAAAGATGACAGATAAGAAGATGGATATTAGTGGACAAATACTACGAGAGATTTTATTTTATTTTTCTTAGTGTGCATAATAGTGAGTTAATCTTTCCTTAATAAGCAGGGAGGAGGGGCCTTGAAGATGTGAAGTGGACTCATGTCTGTTCTATCTCACCACCAATACAAGAACACACATCACGTAAACGTCCACCACCACAGGCCCCAGACGTCTGGCCTGAATGTGGCTCCGACACAAACAGCTGGCCGTGTCTGTGTGTGTGAAGCTGGGGAGGACTGCTGGCTGCTCATCCCTGTTGCTGCAATAGTGACCTCCAGCGGTGGATTGGGGCTACTGCTCAGTTGGGGTGGATCTTACAGAGGTGGCACGTCTGTTAGTTAGACTGCAGTCCAGAGTCCAAATATGACAAATGGGGAAAAAGAACAAACACACCCTGTATACCTGCTACTCTAGGCCCAGTATTGCTGCTATGCAGAAGAGGGCTAGGCCATCTTTAGGCTCCTGTGAGATTGTAATGGAGATAATATAGAACTCTCTAATGTGATATGATAGGGAACATAGAAGATTACACACCTTCAAGACCAAAAGAACAGTGCTTTCCATCACTGCAAGACAAAAGAACCTCAAGTCAAGGTCCACTTATTAGCTTTTTCCAGAAATTTCAACCTCAAATCACTGCCTTCATTGGTGAATAAAGCTTGCTCAGATGTCAGGAAGATGGCTTAGTTGTCATCATGTGACCTCAGAACAAAACTTCAGTCACAGGATAACAGTATGTGGTGAACAGGGACCCCCAGAAGCCTCCAGAGGGACTCCCTTATGTAGCTGGACTTTCAGCCCTTGAGGAGATGGGAGTGGTGTATGACACCACCATGATGTCACACTACATCAGTGACACAGCAGGAGGCCTGGATGACCCCCAGATCATTCACACCCGACACATCCCTGTACTGAAGGTCCACATTTATGTCACCTGATGACAACTGAACCATCGCCATGGAGTCCAACCATCATGCGATGAAGACCATGAGATGCAGTTGAACGCTCAAGAAAAAGCAAACCTGGAGATTATTTTGTATATATAATTTTCACCACTTGATTTCTGGGAACAAACATTATTATACATGTATCCCTTATTAAGACACTGATGATGTAGATGTAACAACCACATGAATGGATACAAATAAAAAGACATAGTACCAGAATGCAGTCCACCTATCACCAAAACAATGAACATCCAGAGATGCAAATGCAGAAACGAGCTCTGCTGTCATGAATACTGCACTGCCAGGTTGAAAATTGACTGCAGCCTTGAATTAGACTCTTTCTCATCCAGCTAGTGTAGGCGGTGCATGGCCGAGTGACCAGGGGTTCTCTACTGAGGTCTGATCAGGCCTGTGTATTCAACATTCTCTCACAACATGGCACCACAAGTGGAAAGATGGGGTTGAGGCACTAAAAGAAATACAGCAGCTTTGGAAGTCCTTTCCTAATTGTGCAGCGGGGGTCTGCTGCCCCCTGCAGGAAGACATGCAGCATGACAGCACATTATGTCAAGGCTCGCCTTTGGGCGTGCTACATTTCGTGAGCAAGTTAAAATGTTTGACATGTCCATTTTAAAGACATGGTATTGCAAATAATTGTTTGCGTGAGTTTTTTTTCACACAGTCTAACACAGTCAGCTCTGTGGTGATGATGTCATCATTCAGCACAGAGGTGGCATCCTTTCTAACAACAGTTTGGTCATTTTTATTCCATCTCTCCGGTACACAGGGCTACAGTACTTCCTGTTTCTCCTCCAAACTGTTCCTGACACCTCTCCCTTTATATCCTCTTATTAAAATAAACGACTACACTGATTTAAAAGTTGCTTTTGGCAAAAGTGCAAATGAAACCATTTGGAAAGAAAATTATGCACCTTATCTCTGTCTCTCTGTGTGTCTCTCTCTGTCTCTCTCTCTCTCTGTCTCTCTCTCTCTCTCTGTGTCTGTCTCCCGCCCTTTCTCTCTCTCTGTCTCTCTCTCTCTCTCTGTGTCTGTCTCCCGCCCTCTCTCTCTCTCTTACACAGACACACACACACACACACACACACTCCTTTTTGGATGAGCTGTAGAGGGATAAGGATTTGGTGTCCATGGTAACAGTGCTTAGAGGAGGACACAGGGACAGCCCCCCCTTTTCTGTTTCCTTGTGTGATGAGTTGGAGGAGGAGGACTCTCCATCTCCTGAAACCGTCTGTGGATGAAGAAGAGTAGAAACGGAAAGAGAGGAGTGAATCATTCCTGGTCCCACGTGTGCACATTACACTGTGTCATGTGACTGTTGGTAACCCAAAGGTCTGACTAGAGATTCTTGGTAGTGAGACCAAACAGCCACTAACAAGCTTTTAAAGGGAATGTGAGAGTGCTTTACACTCTGAGTGCTTTAATTCAGGTTATGCCCCAAAACACACCAGTGATTGACTAAAGAGTAACTGCACACTTACTTCATTTGTGGTCTGATTAACAGTAAATGTATCACAGTCAGTGCCCCATGCCTCGTATCTAAGCTGCTGTAGCTGTTAATTATCTGTTCAAATGAAGTGAAATAAACAAGGACTGTACCTGATAATTTGCACCAGCTCCAAGAAGACTTCATCCACGTTGTAGCGATTCTTGGCTGAAGCCTCCATATAGTGGATCCTGTTCTCTCTGGCGAACGCCTCAGCGTTCTCCCTGGAGATCTGCAGACAAAGCAAAGATCCTCCACTGTCACCTCATCCTCATTACACTTTCCACTCACTTCAGTCAAGAGCCACCGGTCCATTACTGTACTGTGAGGAGATCAGCCCACAGAGAGTCAAACCTTCATATTAATCTCTATCAACAGATGCTACTTTCATATTCAGACTCTGTCTGCAACGAGACAAGATTTTGATATCAGAAGTGCTCTGGTTTCCACTTGTAGTCCGAGTAGTGTTGACCAATCACGTTGGAGCAGGCTTCGGTTGAAGGCAGGTAAAGAGTCTGTGTGGAGAGCCAATGAGGAGGAAGACATATGCCGGGAACCCACCTGCTACCGTGGTCATGACGATGATTCAGATTTGTGTTGGTTTTAATTTAGCTTGTAAACTGGCTACTTCCAAAATGGTACAAGCCTTCTCTCAGCTTCAACTCCAGTCTCACATCTTGAGCTGTAATTGGGACTGAGAACAATGAGACATGCCGTCTTGGCCCAGATCTCCACTCGCTACACTGGAACCTCAGGAATAGATCAGAGATGATGGTTCACAGTGTGCTTTCATAGAGGAGGTTGTCCAGGCTTTGCTTCCTTCTACAAAAACAAAATAGCTAAATAAAGGGAAAAGATCGATTGGTGTCGGAAATACATTTCCAGTTAAATCATAAGATACATTTGACATTCATTTGCATAGGTCCTTTTTAGTGTGTTTTGTTTTCGGGCCCTAACAGTTCACAGCTGTGTTTGAACTTTGCCATCGAGTGAGTTGCTCCTCCTTTAAATGAGGCGTTCATATTAGTTTGTCTAATATCTGAGGTCACTTTTGACCCATAAACCTGAAGTTTCACAAATTCCCTGATATTGATATTTCCAAACCCTGGATGAGAACTGATCAAATTCCTTCTGGAGCATATCTGTCTACACTCCACTACATTCCAGGAGCATTGGGAAAACTAAGTGATCCCTTACAGATCCATGAGGGCCTTACTCACCACTCTGTGCTGCTCCAGGTCCGCCTTGTTTCCAACCAGCACCATGGGGAAGTCGTCTCGGTCCTTGACTCTCAGGATCTGAGTGTGGAATTTCTGGACCTCATGGTAGCTGTCGGCGGACAGAGGGAAATAATTAGCAATCACAGTACCAACAAACATAGATTCATATGGATTCTGATTTTCAGAAAAGAATGTGCCATGCACAGGAGATGGACACAATAATAACCAATCTCCGCTCATCTCTTTTAAGCACAGCAGAAAACATCTGGAGTTATTAGTAATACAACAAAATGTGGTTCCAGTGTTAAAGAGTGTCTGAGTATGTTCATTACAGAAGTCACAACTGTAAACTCTTATAATCCACATATACTGGATGCATTGAGACAAACAGACATGTTACCACTAGAGAAATCAAGCTAACATAAACATAGCCATGATGAACACTTGTTGTAAGGCACATTGGTCACAGTGCTATAGTCATTTGATTTGTCAGGTTTGTGTAGATGAATATCTGTGCTGCTTTTCACATTCATTTATGAATTGCTAACCAAAGAGCATGGAGTCTAATAAGTGACAGACCCTGTTAATACAGCCGACTGCACTAGAGTGCATTTAGCTATGAGACTGCAGAACAGTGCAGAACAGGGGTCGACTCAATCATAAACACCTGTAATATCTAATATCACCTGATACCAGCAACACTTACCATAGTCTCACATACATGTATTCAGTGCATGTGCGCTATGTGCGTTTGCTGGAATGGAATGCATGTGTTGTACAGGTACCCGTGACACTGAGTCCACTTCCTGTCCCTGTCTAAATAACAGCTGGACAGAGTCCTCACATCAGTCTCACTTCCTCTGTAGCACCAGACGGACGGTGATTGGCAGCATCACTCTGCTACACTGACTGACCATTCTGAGGTTCTGATAATGCTACAATCATCCATCTGTTAGGAAGCTCTAGAGTCTACACACACACACACACACATTACCTGCCCCGGTCGTTGAGTGCAAACACCAATAAGAAGCCTTCTCCTGAGCGCATGTACTGCTCCCTCATCGCTCCAAACTCCTCCTGACCTGCTGTGTCCAAGACTGAAACACACACACACACACACACGTTATATACTCACGACACAGCATTGCTACAACAGCCAGAGCATGCTGCATGTTATATGATCCATTTCTATCGGTGGGCTCAGTTCTAAGAGTGTTGGGAGTGAGAGCACAGTAATCCTCTCTTGTTGTATCATTAGCATCATGCTACAGAGCTTAGCATCTCTGAAGACCTGTCAGAAACACACAAGGTGCTTTCACAACACTCACTGCTGCTCTGTGGGTATTTCCACAATCTGCTTCTAAAAACAGATTCTGTCTACTGCACAATCGCATTCTTGAATTGCTCTACAAGTTGCAACTCTATCTACTAACCCTTGGACGATTGCCAGAAATGGCTTATGTCCTTGCTTATATTGTAAACGCAACAATGGAAAGAAACATTGATAATAAAACCTTTACATTTTGGTTCGTGGATTAAATATTTGATATTCATCTAGATAGATAGAGGAATCTAGAGTATTTTTAACAACCTTTCGTTTGTTAGACTTCCAGACAAACGATGGCTCAGCTGTGTGACTCAAACGTGAGGCTACATGAGACTGAGAGGCACAAAGTGGGTCTGAGGAAGCCCATGTTCCAGTAGAGAGCTCTGACAGAGCCGGTAACTAGTCATGATATGCTGGTTAACACCACCCACAGCACACACTGCAACATCTGTGTACACAAACACTAAAGTATATAACAAGTGCTCCCAACGTCAAATCAAATATAAGGGCCTTTAGATATGATGACGTCCGACTACTTCTGTTCACCCAACAAGCTTCAATTTCTGCCAAACTGTACCATTTGATCTCCAGTGATGTTTAAGGGTGGCAATATAAATCTACAGTGCTGTAAACCAGTCCATCTGTATACATCTGATGATTCACATATCACTGTGTGGTGAAACAGTGTGACCCAACACACTGCAGCCTGGCGCTGTGCAGTAACACTGGCCAAGTACAAGTCCTAACAAGGGAATGAAACATCCAGAGAGCAAACACACTGTCATCTCACATCGCCGTGCAACACACCCTCTGCTTTCAGACAAACAGTGAGCACAATGAATTCATATCCGGTGTGACGGAGCCTTACTGTCCAGCCGGGTCTCCTTTCCATCCACTGTACAGATCTTGGTGTAGGAGTCTTCGATGGTGGGGTCGTAGTCCGACACAAAGTAGGACTGTGGGACACAATCAATGTTAAACAAACTGCTGCTGAGGGCACAGCTCACACAGTAGACGATATTTCTTCAATACAGTGTCTCCCAACAAACACCTGGCTCCATCTGGAGTGTCCGTTAGCGAGCGGCCATTTGTTACTGCTGATGGTCGGAAAAAGATGCTGTACATGCATTCAGTAGTGCTACACATATGACTATTCCAGTAAAGAGATTTGTTTCTGTAACCAGAAATAGGACATTTACAATTACTCAAGTAGTGGAAGGACAATTAAGTACACTTTTGAGCAACTTGTCCTTTCCCGGAGTATTTCCATTTCAACTCCACTACATTTACCTGATGGCTATGGTTACTAGAGACTCTACAGGTGTTACACACAGTGTGGTATTGTTAGGATCTGAATACTACTCCCACTTCTGCATGTACTAGAACGACAGTTTACTGCAGTTTCCAAAACAGAGTTGTACCTGTAGCTTCATATGTAACTTATGTTAATGTTGGCTTGTGTTAGCTTGCATCTGCCACAGTCACTGGGTAACAGTGGCTTTCTGAACAATGGCGCCACATGTATAAATGTAGTCAGCAGCAACATAAAGTAGAACATGTGAAGTCAGTTCCCAAAACCTAAAGAAATACTGAGATGGTCCTTAAACTGAACCCACATGGTCAGCTGGGTAGTTAGCCAATTGAAGCAAGTGTGTTGCTGCTGAAAAACAGCTCACACATTAAGAACTAAACGCTGTGGTCATCAGGTCATGACTCAGCTCATAAAGACACGGCACACAGCTGTGTGGAGGCAATGCCACCAGCCAATCACACATGAGGGAAATCTGTGATCTTTTTTTTTACATTCAAGTGCGAAGTGAGAGATTTGACATGTGTTGAGCAGCAGGTTCAGCTGTTCTGAGAACAGTTAAAGACTCCCTCACAATGAACATCATGTCTGCATTCTGCACTGTTACTGTGTAGTTACACACATGTAGCATAACTGTGAGGAAATCAAAGCCCATATGATGTTCACTGTGACGTGCAAGTTTCAAGTAGCTTTTCATATGAATAATGTAAATAGGAAGCAGTGTTCAACATCTAACATGCTGTTAAATAGAGCAGAGATGGAGGGAAGGCCTAGCCATGCTGCTGCTCCCTGTTTGAGAGGCTGTATAAATCACTTACCACTACTTCATAGATCAGTAATAACCAATAATCAGGTTAAGATAAATCCTCCTAACACTTTGCGTTGCCTTTTGAGCTCTTTGGTTCATCAGGACAACCGTGTGACCTCTCACCTTATGAATGTATTTATTAATCAATGTTCACATGTTCAATTCAAGACTGGATCGTTGTGATCGATACTTCATGTTCCTACAGTACGACCTGATCACTGTGGCTCCTGTAGACATTAACATGACTATTAATGAATCACCAGCCGGAGAGTTTTCATAACCCTGCAAAATATGTTTCTCATGAACAGCCAGTGATGTATAGAGCGTCAGTGAGTGATCTATACAATAATAAAGTCATACAACTGTGGCTCTATAGTACAGTAATAACACAGTAATAACACAGATGTAGTAGAGAGACCGTACATGGATGAACTGGAGTACAGTAATAACACAGTAATAACACAGATGTAATAGAGAGGCCATACATGGATGAACTGGAGTACAGTAATAACACAGATGTAGTAGAGAGGCCGTACATGGATGAACTGGAGTACAGTAATAACACAGTAATAACACAGGTGTAGTAGAGAGACCATACCTGGATGAACTGGATGGTCAGTGCGCTCTTCCCCACCCCTCCTCCTCCCACCACCACCAGTTTGAATCGTTCCTCTTCTCCACTCATACTGGTTTGGAACTGGGATTCTTACGGATCAAAAACCTCCCAGGGCCTGAGCTAAAGCCAACCCGAGCCTCGACAAAAGCCAAAGTAAAGTAGTCAAGCAGATCCGCCGGTTTACGTCGATGTTAGCAGAAGACACCAGCACGGACGATTTGATCGGTGCAGCTTCAAACGGAAACTTTACTCATTTTTTCTACAACGAGGTCTTCGAAACACAACCAGACCTGACGACCAAAGTCCCGCCGGAGCTCCGCTGTCCATCCGCCAAAGCAACAAGTAAAGAGTCCAGCAGCAGCGTGTGTCTCTGGGGCTTCTCTTCTCTTCTTTCTGCTCTCTTCTCCTCGGCCTCCGGGCAGCTTGTGGGGGCGGAACTGCTTCCTCTTTTCTTTTTCCTCAAGAAACTACAGCAGCTCGCGCACTAATGTTCTAACTCTAGATAGACACACACACACACACACACAGGTCGATGTATCGGTGTGTCACAAAAGACACGATGGAGCACCAACGTTACACACACTTCAGCTTTCTCTCATTAATACTGAAACCGAGCAGAACCAATTCCACTTTCATGTGTCCGTGTCCTTATTTGGTCATCTGGAGGGGCCTACCGTTACCTTTCCGTGACATCATGTAAAACCTACTGGCCCGCGCAAGATGTAAAAGCAGCACGAGGTTGGAAGTATTTCACTGCACTTATGGTTATCAATAATTATATTTAATTTGTTATTAAACAGACGTTGCCTCGTTGATTAACAATAAGAATAAAGTTCACAACAGTCGGTTAACAAGACGACAACTTCTTCATGGTAAACTTAAAATGGATTCTTCTGTCATCTCCTATCCCTCTCGAGCACGACGCCATTGTGTTTCAGTCCACATGTGGAATGTGAGCCCTCAGGCAGCAGCACATACCTCACCTTTCTACGTGGACACGTGACCCACACAATCTAATCCAGTCCCAGTTCACCTGGAGCCCATAAAACATGGAGGCACAGTGAGATCCACATCCAATAAATACACAATACATACATACATTTGATTACTAAATTAATGTTGCCATTCTGATCGATATTGATACTTCACTTTTTGACATATTGTGATGAAACGTGTTTTGTTATGGCTGATAATAAAAATAAGAGTTTAATACACTGCACGAGTCATAGAAAGTATTACCAAATATTCACATCCAACATTTTCATTTTTAGTTTTATATACCAGCTGTCATTGAGGAATCCGTTTAGCACAGATTCATGTTATTGCCTCATTAACCTGCTGTCAGTGCCTTCTGCCCTCCAATACAACCCTGAAACAAACACTTATGGGAATCACTTTCATTCCTAAATGAAATAAGATACTCAAAAATGAAATTCACAGACAAACCTGCAGCTGCACTGCGCCTGTTAAACTACTGAACAAAGCATTGAACCTAAATGCTGACCCCTGGTGTACAGTATCCCTCTGCTGCAATATCATGTGGGTTATTGGTTTGCGTCGTTGTCATCAGATTCAAGTTAACACCAATTCATTCAGGAAGATGTACAATGTACGCACAATATCAGCTACAATAATGGAAGTACTACACTTAGACAGGAACCCTTCTTCCAGGGCCACTCGATGGAGGTAATGAAGGAGGATCCACCATAAGGCCCTCACTGCAGGTGACATCGTGCTTTAGTGATACATATCCCCAAACACATTCTCAATGAAATGAGTAAGAACCACTCACAGTAAGTGTGGCGCTGATGGGCCCTTGGGGTTTTAGTTACTCATTTTGATAGCACGCCCTTGATTAGTGTCTAAAATACAGAATTACACAAATTTTACAGAGGAGATGGACCACCGTGCTTTTAACAGGCATTAGGCCCATTATAGAGCCATTACTACACGTGCTACAACTACTTCATTATTTTGCACTTCTGCAAAATGTATTGACCTAGCGATTTAATAGCGATGTATAAATCAATGTTAAGATCTTTGTTATCTAAACTGATGAATGGTTGGTTATCTAGTTTTGGTAAGCAGACCTTGTTCAGATGTGTTTATCATATGAAGAAGCTGACATTGTCTCCATGAGATATAATCAATGAGCATCTTTTCCCATATTAGTAGCAGATCATGTCTTCCAATTCCTCACAGTGGTTTTCATGACAATGGTTAGGAGAATAATCATGATTCTAATACACAGAGATGGGGACAATGGGATGGAGCAGCTCAGTCTTTGAGAGGAATGCTTGATTATGTTCCACCAGAAGAAAGCAAAACATTTAGAAGGGAAATATTGTGAGAAATGCAGCTCTCAGAGAAGATAATGTCCTAATGTGGCCTCCTGTGCACCAAGTATTTGTTTAAGCTGTTAAATACCGGGGTTATCAGAGTGATGAGACCTAAAAACCAGATGGCAATGTTGAGAAGCGCCGCTCAAAACCACTGAGGAAAAAAGCAATAAGACACGGTTGAAATGTCATCTTTAATAATCAGTAAATACATCTTGAACCATTGTGCGAGAAATCTTACGGAATCTTACAAATGTCCAGATAAGCTGACAACTGTCAATGTGTAATAAACAAGATGCATTTGTGTGGGTTTATTGTGTATTGTAAGTATAGTTCTTAAATTCAGCTCTGCAATACATAAATAAATAAATACATAAATAGAAGACCTCCTGTATGTATGACCCACATAGTGTGGTTTATTTCAATTTGACAAACATGCACAGACACAAACAGCCTCCTTCATTCCAGCCCCCTCAGCACCTGTACGGCAGTGCAGGCTGGACAAACACCCCTCCCAGCAGCACCCTCTCCCCCCAGCCCAGCAGCTTGTTGAGAGTGACGCTGAAGGGCGACAGCAGGCCCTGCTCCTTTACCTCTGCTGTGCTGCACTTGCTGTGGGGGGGGCTCTGCTCCCGGCAGGTGTCCTCTGTCTGCCTGTGGCAGCCAGTGTTACTCTGTGTCTTTGCCTCAGGCTTTTCTCCCGTCTCCCTACTGTGGGCGGTTTTGGGCGTGGCCGTGCCTCTTGCTCGCTGCCTGCTGCTTGCTAAGGAGGTAGGGCAGATTTCCACAGGGGTCAAAAAGAGGGTGAGACTTTTTCGTTTCTCTAACAGAGAAGCAGAGCCTGCTGGGAGGTGCAGTTGAGCAGGCTTTGCTGCTGGTCTGACCGGCTCACAGGGGCTTGAAGCTGGAACCTCACATAGCATCTGGACTTGCTGCTGGACTTGATTAAGAGTCAAATGAAGAGTCTGAAGTTTCCCTGAAACCTGCTGGTTCCCATTCCCATCTAAATGTGAGTGTCTTTGCTGTGTTGTGCTGTCTGTGTGGTAGGAATTCTCTCTCTGTGTCTGCTTGATCTCTGCTGAGTCGCTGGTCACACTGTCGGCCTGAGTATTCAAGTTGCGACTGATGTGCGCTTGGTTAACGCCGTCATTGATGGATGGCAGATGATTGTGCAGCTGCTGCATGAGGAGGTCGCCACCAGAGTCCTTCTGGCTCAGAGTGCCCTGGAAGTGCTGCAGCTGACCCAGGAAGTTGAAGTTTGGGGAAATAGAGGGCCGGCGCTCTTTCACAAACCTTACAAGGGGACAGACAGGATGTGGGTTAGGGCTATTCTTCAACAGCTCACGCAGCTCTGGTTGGTGTTCCACACTTTGACATGACACAAACAAATAGACAGAACAATTACAACCACACTATGCAACATGTAGAAAAGAAAAATAGGTAATGACACTTGTTTGAAGTTGAGTGGAATAGGTATATTGGTGTTGGCAAGTGTTCGTATTCTTTGTTATCTAAACTGATGAATGGTTGGTTATCTAGTTTTGGTAAGCAGACCTTGTTCAGATGTGTTTATCATATGAAGAAGCTGACATTGTCTCCATGAGATATAATCAATGAGCATCTTTTCCCATATTAGTAGCAGATCATGTCTTCCAATTCCTCACAGTGGTTTTCATGACAATGGTTAGGACAATAATCATGATTCTAATCATGATTATTGTCCTCACAGAGATGGGGACAATGGGATGGAGCAGCTCAGTCTTTGAGAGGAATGCTTGATTATGTTCCACCAGAAACAGGCCAAATCCACAAGTCGTGGAATTAGTCATCTGTGGTTTTAAGAGTACACTGAACATACTGGTGAGTCACTTTATTCCATTTTGTACATACTTTGTTGTGTGAGATGTGAATTCTAAGTATATGGTCATCTCCAACTGGCTAAATGTATTGGTATCTTGTTCATTTTGGCAGTAGGATTTTACCATATTGGAGTGTATTTGCATGGAGAATAATAATAATAATAATAATACATTTTATTTATATAGTGCTTTAAAAGGCACTCAAAGACACTTTACATGGTAAAAACAGAAACAATAAAAACATTTATAATAAGAACAAAATCTATGACATAACAGTAAGAAAGAAAAAAAACACGAAAAGAAAGAAAGAATGTCTGAGGTGTTGGGGCAGGGAGTTCCAGAGGGAGTGGGCAGCAACAAGAACGCCCTGAGTTGTGTTGATATTTTTATAACTCTCCACCAAACTGCCAAATGTGCTACTATTTAAAGCAGGTGTGGTTTTTGATAGTGTAAATGCTCGAGTCAGAAACAGAAAGTTATTTGCAGACTGTTATATTGGTATATGTATTGCCTGGGTGGTTGTAATTCTTCCAGTTAATAATCTACTTTATTTGAGTGGCTATGTAATAGATGTGGAAATGAGATGCATCTAAGCCTCCTTGTTTCCTGCTTTCCTGTAAAGTATCATTTCTCCAGTAGAATTTAGATATAGTTGATTGGTTGAAGTAGAATAGATTAGATTCTCGTAAAAATTGTCATTTTAACTGTTGCAATTCTGCCAATGAGGGGAGTGAAGTAAGGAAGTGCAGTTAAGTTGGAACAAGTGATAGCTTTGGAGAGATGTTGACAGCCAGACATCTAATCTTCACAAAGCTGGAAGAGAAAAAGGTGTGAGGACTGTTCATTCCATTTCTCTTTGTTAGAGGGACAGTTTATGAAGTAATTACTCTAAAGCAACAGCAGCACATCGTCTACGTATCGGGTAATTGTATGTTGTGTTACCAAGCTGAACTACTGGGTTGAGGTTTTGGCAAACAACACAAGCAAGTGCTTCAATGAATATTGGAAATTGAATCTTGATGTCATGACTGTGGCCAAAGAAGATGTAAATAAAGTCATCGTCCAATTCATAAATCTATCAACTAAAAACCTGTTGTAGGGTCGTGAATATGATTTTGTCAAAGGCTTTTCCTGCGTTGAGTGATCAATTCTATGTGGGATGACAGTTATTGTGGCCAGGGCTTTTCTAATGATTTTAATGTCTTTGTTTAGGAGTAATATTGGGTGATAATTAGTCTTTTCCTGGTTTCAGATGGACGTGTATGCTTGCAGTATTCATATATTTTTTTCACTGTTTTTTTCTGCTACCATTCTGAGAAATAAAGGGAAGAGTATTGTTCAAAACAGGCTCCGGTGCCTTAATATTTGGCATTTATTCATCAATGTTCAAGTTCAGTTAGAAAAGAGTTGATGTCACTTACACTCGGATTGTAATTGGATCTGTTTGGTCCTTGCTAGAAATGTTGCTGTTTTGTTACACTATTCAAAGTTATTGTATCTCAGCTTTTGTAAAATGAGCTCAGATGGAATCTGTATTTTCACAGGTCATTTTATTTTCCTGCGGGATCTTTGGAATGAGCATCTACTTTTTTAAATATTTGTTGTAAATGGTGGTCTAGTTCATTACCTTTTCTTGTGGGAAGAGGAAGAGCTCTGTGCATTTGAGCTTCCTGGGGAATCTTTCAGTTCCATAAAGGATGCCCACTCTTGTTTGATGAATGTGTTTAACTCAGTATTTGTGATGTGTTCAAACGCCATCTACTGACTGGTCGATGGAGGTAATTGTCATTTAATTTGAAATACTGGAACGTGGTCACTGATAACAATGAGATGGTTGTTTTGTATCAGTGATCTGTGGTATCAATGAATTACTGGTAAGAAAGAAATCTATACAGGAATAGAAATGGTGCGTGTGTGAGAAATATGTAAATTCCTTTTTCTCTGGATGTTTTATGAGCCAACCATCACAGAGGCTAAAGTGATTCACGTGTTCGATTGTGTTTGAAGCCTGTGAAAGCTGAGATCTGCCAGTATAATTTGACTTGTGCTGTCAGACTTAATGACGTATTAAGTATAATAATAATGATATATGAAGGTAGCCACCTAGCATTACATTAGTTAGTGAAAAATAAATAAAAGTAGCAAGTGTTCAGTTAGCATTGAAAAGGGAAAACTATGGCATTGATTACTTGTGTTGGCATGGAAAAAAGGCTCCAATAAAAAAATCAAACTAAAAATTATAAAACTATTTTATTCCACAATATATGTTTTGCATTCTGGTAAGTTTTTCAATGACAATTTTCCAATTTTTCAGTCAGAAAGAACACAGTTGGTGTTTGGGAGTTTCAGGTGAACTTGTGGAAACCACGGTTGTATGCTAAGTGTCACGTAGAGGCTTCCAGAAGATGTGGTATGCAGGTTAAATGTACGCTCTCTACACCAAAGTGGTGACAGAGAGTTGAAACTGAAAACCACTGTCTGACAAAAACTGTCAGTCTAAAAATAAACTGACAGTGAAAAGAAGAGTGACATAAAGAAAAAAATCAGAAGATTGTTATTTAAAAACACATCAGAATACAAACAGTTATTTTGATTGCCTATGTTTTGTTTTTCAGAGCCAATACAACTTTTTCAATGCCAATGATTCCTTTTTCAGTTCAGGTTGTGTTTTCAGCGAAAGAAAAGGTTCAATGCCTGTATTATGTAGCGACTGTCCTGGCTCCAGAAATGTGTTATGCTGCAGGACTGGGTCAATCAGTTGTAACTACGGTGAATTCAAACTGGCTTCAAACGGTACAGCGCTTGACAGACCTTCTTTAATTCTTTTCTCTTATTAAAATACGGCTACTGTTTCGTCAAAATGGAAAATCAAAATCATATTTTCATCAAATTTAATGAAAATCTCGCTCTCTCCGTCTTTCTTTCTTAATCCAACCGGTCGAGGCAGAAGGACGGCCAAGCAGGACCAGGTCCTGCTCCAGCTGTCTACCTGTTAAAGAGCAGTTTCTCTTTGCTACGGCCACTGTGAATACCAGCACAGCTCAGATCCGGCTGCAGTCTGAATGTACCGGTACAGGTATGAAGCCGTACCTGTAGGCGTGGTCCAGGTCCATTCCCAGTCTGTACATGATGTAGGCTACAGCCAGAGCCGGGGAGCGAGAGATTCCTGCTGCACAGTGAACCAGCACGGAGTCACCAGAGGACATGGCTGCATCTGAGCACACAGAGACAGTCAGTTCAACAGCACGGTGAGAAACAAGCAGCAGTTAACCATTGTTCAAATGCACCGGTTACATCAGGCATGTCCAAAGTCCGACCCGCAGGCCAATCACGGCCCGAGGTCAGATTTTATGGCCCGCACCTTCTGTCTTAAAATGCATTATGTATGGCCCGCCAGCACAGTCAAAACAGAATGAATAAATCATACAAATTCAACATGCAATTCCTCTTTTTACCTCATGGTGGCAGCACCACTCTGTAACTGTCTGGCTGTTTGAAATTGGCTCTGACCCTTGACCTGTCATGTTACGGCAAGTAAAAAAAGGAAAGTCGATAACGAGGGCCGCCGCTTCCAGGAGAGGTGGAGATCGCAATATTTTTTTCACCGAAAACCGAAACAACTGTGTCTGCCTAATTAGTCATGAGACTGTTGCCTTGTTTAAGCAATATAATGTAAAGAGACACCACGACACCAAACATGCTAATGCTACAACAAGCTATCAGAGAGCGACCGTGCTAGAAAAGTGAAGCAACTCCAAGATAACTTGGCCACACAGCAGCGGCCCTTTTCACATGAAAACATCATCAAAGTAAGCTACCAAGTGGCTATGTTAATTGCTAAACATGACAAACCTTTTACGGAAGGTAAGTTTATCAAAGACTGTGTTATGAAAATAGCAGAAAACATTTGCCCCAAGAAGAAGACAGAGTTTGCTAATGTTTGCCTGGCTCGTAACACTGAAGCGCCATCATCATAAAATAATGTCAGCAGGGACTGTTGGCCCTTGGGCATTTTCACATTATCAAATCTGGCCCTCTTTGAAAAAAGTTTGGACACCCCTGGGTTACATCAATATCATCCATTTTTGTATATGTGTATATAAGTTCTGTGGGGAAACTGGACTGTTATTTGTATTGGAAATATATGTATTAGAAATTGGAGGACATCAGGTCGTTAAGATGGTGGCTGTTTTTGCTGAATGCTGTAGGAGGGTGAGTGAGGGTGCTGACCGATGAAGTGCAGAGCCTGTGGGATCCAGGGCAGCAGGTCGTCCCACAGGGAGTCATCAATGGGGATGCGAAGGTATCTGGAGTGAGGCAGAAAGGATGGCTGGGGGCTGCAGCGACTCACACTCAGCACATAGGAGATACCCAGAGAGGCCAGCCGGTCCTGCGCGCACACGCACGCGCACACACACACACACACACACACACACACACACGCACACACAATAGAGTGAAATATTGAAATATTTGCACTTTCCATGAAAAGGAAAGCAGACTATATTTTCTCTCTGTGGAGTGTCCAGCCTTATTTAGGATCCTTTGTCTCTTGAGGTCTTTACAGTCAGTCTACTGTCATATTTCAGAAAGACACTTTAGTATTCCTCAATGGTGAAACGTTCAGAAGCAGATACTGTACGTGTTACTCCATCACTCAGATGTTTAATTAGCAGAAGCAGATGTTATATCAGGATCAGTGTCTAAAATGAAAATTCAACTTTCCAACTGTATATAAAGAAGTTCTAATTAGCTCCACCGCGTTTTACACATCACATGCGCATTTGTAATAATCATACAATAATATCATAAAAGCCCACGGACTTTAGCCACCTTGCCCGGACCAGGGAAACCGGGGCACCCTCCCGGAGCCAGACCCAGGAGGGGAGCTCGTAGGCGAGCGTCTGGTGGCCGGGCCTTTGCCCATGGGGCCCGGTCGGGCTCAGCCCGAATAAATACCATGGAGCAGCCACCCTGTGGACCCACCACCCGCAGGGACAAGCATCGGGGTCGGGTGCTATGCAGACCGGGGGCGGGTCGGGCGGGAGGCCTGGGCATGCCGATCGCCGGCGGCATAGACTAGCTCTAGGGACGTGGAACGTCACCTCGCTAGCGGGGAAAGAGCCGGAGCTGGTGCAGGAGGTGGAGCGATACCAGCTAAAAATAGTTGGACTCATCTCCACACACAGCGTTGGCTCTGGAACCAAGCTCCTGGAGAGAGGTTGGACTCTGTCCTTTTCCGGAGTTGCCCAGGGTGAGAGGCGCGGGGCAGGAGTGGGGATACTCGCGAGCCCCCGGCTGAGTGCCGCTGTGTTGGAGTTCTCCCTTGAGAACGAGAGGGTCGCCTCCATGCGCCTACGGGTTGTGGGGAGCAAGGCTCTGACTGTGGTTTGTGCTTATGCACCAAACAGCAGTTCAGAGTATCCAGCCTTCTTGGAGTCGGTGGGAGGGGTCCTGGAAAGGGCGCCGCCTACCGACTCCATAGTTCTCCTGGGGGACTTCAACGCTCACGTGGGCAATGACGGTGAAACCTGGCGGGGGGTGATTGGGAGGAACGGTTTGCCCGATCTGAACCCGAATGGTGTTTCGTTATTGGACTTCTGTGCTTGCCACGGTTTGGCCATAACGAACACTATGTTCGAACATAAGGTGGCTCATAAGTGTACCTGGTACCAGAACACCTTAGGCCGGAGATCAATGATCGACTTTGTAATCGTATCATTTGATTTGCGGCCGTATGTCTTGGACACTCAGGTGAAGAGAGGAGCAGAGCTGTCAACTGATCACCACCTGGTGGTGAGTTGGATCAGATGGCAGGGGAACCGGTTGGAAAGACCCGGCAAACCCAAACGTGTAGTGAGGGTAAACCGGGAACGTCTGGCGGAGGACCCTGTCCGGGAGGTCTTTAACTCCCACCTCCGGAAGAACTTCTCACACATCCCGAGGGAGGTTGGGGACACGGAATCCGAGTGGACCATGTTCAAAGCCTCTATTGTGGACGCGGCCACTAGGAGCTGTGGCCGGAAGGTCATCAGTGCCTGTCGTGGCGGCAACCCGAGAACCCGGTGGTGGACACCGGAGGTGAGGGAAGCCGTCAAGCTGAAGAAGGAGACCTTCAAGGCCTGGTTGGCCCAGGGGTCTCCTGAAGCAGCCGACAGGTACCGGCAGGCCAGAAGGGCTGCAGCTGCGGTGGTCGCGAATGCTAAAACTCGGGCATGGGAGGAGTTTTGGGAGGTCATGGAGAAGGACTTTCAGTTGGCCTCAAGTAGGTTCTGGCAAACCATCCGACGGCTCAGGAAGGGAAAGCAGGGCTTACCCCAGGC